GTTAATATCTAAAATCTATAAGATATTATTAAAGCATAATAATCTCAGATTAAAGATGAAAAACAAACAAACAAACAAAAACTTGTCACTCATTTTGTAAAATGTTCATCAAAAAATATTGTATTGTAAATATATTTTAAGCACAGAATGTGAATGCTTAAATGCACTGAATGTGAAAACTGGTGTCATGGTGGTTGAAGCAAGGAAGAGTTTAAGCAGGATCTATTTACAGCAGTAAAACTTTAATCAACAATAACTCAAAATAACAAACGCAGGAACAGAACAACCACTAAATAGATGTAAACAGGGAGCATATATACAGATACTAAACGAGAGAGCTAACAAGGGGTAGGTGGACACAATAGGTATCTATTGTAACAAACTAGGAGACTACGTAAACTGTAAGGAAGACAGGAAATAAATAGGAACAGGGAACTCAAAACTAAACCAAAACAGAATAGGCATAGAAATTAATCTATAGGAAAAGTTAACCATTATTTAAAGTTAGTAATTTCTTTTGATCATTTTGAATAGTATGTTCATATTTTTACTTGAAAATCTACATTTAGTAGCATATATTTTAGTATATATTTTAGGAGTTTAATTATTTTATTTGTTTTCTCCTAATAGGCTGCCTGGGTCAGTTAGATGGTAAGTTGTCACAATCCAAACTCATGTTCAGTCACACAGAGAGTTTTGTTTTGAATGTGTTGTAGTTTTTTGTGTAAACATGGAATTCTCACATATGATCTTTTCTCTCACCAGTATGTGGTCAAGCCCCCCTCAACACCAAGATTTTTGGAGGGGAGAATGCAACGGCAGGCTCTTGGCCGTGGCAAGCCAGCATTCACAGTCTGTCCAGTAAAAGCTTTTTGTGCAGCGGGACGCTAATCAATGAAGAATGGATTTTGACTGCAGTTGACTGTGTCCTACAGTACGAAGTGGCCAAGTTTAATATTATCATATGTTTTTATGAATTTCAAGTGTCCAAATATCGTATAGTGTATGTATAGATGCGGATTCATAATAGTGAAATTAAAACTGACTTGTATTTACAGCAACAGGGTGTCTGACATTGTGATCTACCTGGGGCGTCTGACCCAAAATGGCTCAAACCCACATGAGATATCCATGCAAGTGATTAAAGTCATAAAACATCCTAAATATAACAGTCTTGACAGCAGTCTAGCAATGCTCCAGCTCTCTTCTTCTGTGACTTTCACTGATTACATTAAGCCAGTCTGTCTGGCTGCTGCTGGTAGTGTATTTGCTGCTGGTACAGAGAGCTGGGTCACTGGATGGGGCCTAAACGAAGGTGAGAAACGTTACTTCAAAATTACACCCAATCGAGGTTCTAAAATTCTGGAACAACATAATGCCTTTTATGATGTTTCCATTGATCTGTATCTTTATTTTGTGTGATAGAAATCAAGTTTCCTGACATACTGCAGGAAGTGGAGGCCCCTGTTGTGAACAACATTGAATGTAATGATGCCTATGGAGGCATCATTACAGACAACTTGATGTGTGCTGGATTTTTAGATGAAGGAGAGAAAGCCCCATGTGTGGTAAAACATCAGTCATTCATTTTTATCAGGCACTGTTTATCCAATATGCATGTCTTTCTCTATAAAACTGAGAGACTAGAACTGTTATCTCATTCTTGCTTCATCTTCTGTGTCTCTGTACCACATTACTGCTTCACTTCTGTTACTGTAGAGGTGTAAATGTAAAGTGTTTGTCTCTGCAGGGAGATGCTGGAAGTCCACTGGTCACTAGGCAGGGCTCCACATGGATTCAGTTTGGAGTTGCGGTCTATTCTCATTATTGTGCTGAACCTGGTTATCCTGCTGTATATGTCAGGGTGTCTGAATATCAGGACTGGATCAGCAGTTACACAAGGAGCAGCGAGCCTGGATTTGTCTCATACCCCCTCATTCTTTCTCTGATTGATGGAGGCTCAGTCAACCTCCTCTCATTTTCCCTTGCTCTCGCTTTCTCCATCATACCTCTCATCTTCTTCCACTTTTTTTAAAGATTATGTGAGTCATGATAATTTTATGGATACACTTCTGTAATCATGATGATAGTTTGCTGTACACAGTCTCATTATTAGGTGAAATACGTGTTTCTTCTTATAATCTTTTCTTTGATGTTAACCTTCATATTGATTGGATCCTGGGGTCATCAATATGTTTATAATGAAACAAAACTTTGATATAGTTCAGCATGCTTTTAAAAAAAAGAACCTTCACTGACATCACAAGTGCACTGCATGGATGTTTTTAAATATGATTTTATTAAAATAAATCAGTATCCTTTGCAATGTGATCATATATACATTTTGCTGTGTTTTCAATGCATGTACTACTCATTTACTGTGTTGAATAAAACGAAATAAAAATATAAGATTGTGATGTTTTTAATTATTGTAATTCAGTTGTTTACCTGTATGTTTAAAGCGCCATAAACCTCATTCCATACATTTGGGACATTTAAAAAATATACAAGTTTTACATTTAAAATCCTGATGCTGGCATTTATTGACATGGCTGACATGGGACAGACATATGTAAAAAGAATGTTGGTGTGAAAATTCATTATAACAAGCAACAAAACACATATAAAAACTCTTGTTGAGATCCTATATTAATCCTAAGTTTACAAAAGAAAAACAAAAATCTATATTGCTTTTAAAAAATGGACTATCATACACAAACCTTGTAATGTTCTAAACACTACACTTTACACTCTTAAAAATAAAGGTGCTTCACGATGCCATAGAAGAACCTTTTTGTCTAAATGGTTCCATAAAGAACCTTTAACATCTGAAGAACTTTTGTTTCACAAAAGGTTCTTTGTGGCAAAAGAAGGTTCTTCAGATTATAAAAAGGCAAGAAAGACATGGTTCTTTAAAGAACATTTGACTGAATGGTTCTTTGTGGAACCAAAAATGGTTCTTCTATGGCATCGCTGATGTGAAGAACATTTTAAGCACCATTATTTTTAAGAGTGTACACTGACATTTCAACACTACTTCACACTTAACACTATTTGTTACTTTAACATTACCTGCACTACATCCTGATTCATTCATTCATTCATGTATGTATTTATTTATTTATTTTCATTGTTTTCCTGATTTGTCACATATTGTGTATTCTTTTATATTATTGTCTTTGTAATTTCTTGTTACTTGGTCCTTTTATCGTCTTCCTTGAGATGCATGGACAAAATGAGAATTTAATTTAAAGTACAGGTGACAATAAAGGTATTGATTTTCTCAACTCTTGAAAAATATATTGTATTGTTATTGTAGTTGCTTATAAAACTGGCAGCTTGCAAACACATGGAAAAGCCCCTAAAACATTCAGTTCAGCATGATTATACTACAGGTATCTTGATACAAAGTGTATTTCCGTGAATGTCTTTTGCATTGTTTTTGATATATTTTTTACTGTCCTGCTTCCTTGTGCAGTACAATTGCAGTTCGGTTTATATTTAGCATCATGGCACTGTTTGGTATGACATCTATTTTCCTTGTTTGTCTCTGCATGATGGGAAAACTTGAAGTTGAAGGTTTGTTAAATTGCCTTAGCATTAACTTGGTAAACACAACCACTATAGGAATGCGGTTTAGCATGTCTCATTTGGCACAGCATTATCAAGATTGGCATAGCATTATAGAGATTCACCAATGTTCATGTGACTTCTCACATGTCCCTCACACAACCAGTTGTTCCAGCTTTAGTTTTCAGTTCCGTCACCCTCACCTTTACGGATTGGCACAAGGGTAAACGCACTGTATCACAAAACTACTGTAGTAGTATCATGATATTTTACAGCAATGTACGCAGAAATTATGATTATAATTATTATAATTAATTTAAGAATAGTACACAAAAATGTAGTCCACAAATTAGTTAATTTCTTTACTTTCACACAGCATTGCATGCTGTATCTTTTCTTGAAGTCTCACTCACAGTCATTTTACGGTTACAGCTCTTTGATGATGAAAGAGCTGTGTTTTTGACTTTTATTTCAAATCTTTTCTTTAAAACTTTTAAATTGATTAGCAGTTAGATTCTGGAATCATCAGTATGGTTGTAACCAATGTTTTATATAGTTCAGCATTTTTTAAAAACCATTCTAGTTTACAATAATTTACAATGTGTGTCTCATAAAACATTGGTGTATGGATTTGATACTTGACAAAATAATGCAGAATGCAAAGCATCCCGGAAATAAAAGTTTCTCTTTTATCATTCACATCCTCAATCTCTGTGAGAAGTGACATTTGAGACTGGTGAACCACAGTTGATGGGATTCAATACAAACACACACTGCATTCACTTTATTAAAGGATATTTTGACTTATAATACGAATTACTCCATCTCAAGATCTAAATGTTTGTAATTGGTTATAAGCACGTTGTTTAATGCAATGTAATTACATATTCTTCTATTGAAACTCACACTAATCATTTTCTTTTCACTGACTCAACATGAATAAAATAATGTAAGAATTAATTTTAGGAATTTGCTTTGCAAATACATACTCCCTACATACAGCCTATTATATCAAAGTCAAAGGACATTTCTGAAATAATTTATACCAATCCAGACATAAAAGACATAAATAAGAAGGAAGGAGAATGTAAAACATATTCCATTCAATTTCATTTCATTAATTTATTATTTTATTTTATTTTCAAAGGTGCATAAACCTCACTGTATTGAGATACTTATTTCAAAGTTCAAACTAACGATTATAAAACACGAAAGGGAAGAATAAATTACTGTATTTTTGACATCGAAGCTCCGAAGCTTGTGCCAGAAAACTAGCCTACACATTAAACACTTAAGTATTGTATCGGAACTTGATTCATGTTTGCAAACGCATGTGCATGTGATCTATGATGTCTGAAGCCTCGCTCGTCTCAGGTTTCATAGGTAGGCATAATTTTGACCACTAGATGGCATGATGTACTGTGTTGAAAAGTGTCATGTAATTAACTTTTTTACCATGCATTTGAGAGAAACCTCTCGGTGCTTCACAAAACTTTATTTTGACATTACAAGTTTTTAAACAAAATCGCGTTTGGTCTCGTACTGTATCGCGTACCTTGTCAGTGTCGTGGCGGCAGCCCTTGTGTGAAGCAGCCTTCGTGTGAAGACCGAAGAGTGTAAAGACCATCGACTCCACCGAGCAGGGACACCGGCAAGGGACATAAGTATAGCTTTTAAATCATTCTCTTTCCTACTAATTGTTTCCCTTCTGTTTTCAGTTTTTATAACCAATTCTTACTATGTGTTTCCAGATCCCTACTATCCCTACCATTGGCAAACCATGCATCACACACTGGAGGTGGAGGTACTGGTCTGCTTATCTCTAATGATTGGAAATTTAATCCTTTACCATCTCTGAGTATCAACAGCTCCTTTGAATCACATTCAGCCACTATTACCCACCCTCTTAAAATTAATTTTATAGTTGTTTATCGACCCCCAGGACCACTAGGTAACTTTCCTGAGGATGGTACTCCCCTAGTTATGCTTGGAGACTTCAACATCCACCTAGATAAACCTCAGGCTGCAGACTTCCACACTCTGCTTGCCTCTTTTGATCTCAAGCGAGTGTTAACTACGGCTACTCACAAATCAGGCAACCAACTGGACCTTATTTACACACGACACTGCTTTTGTGTACATAGAAAAAGTCTTAGATCTTTGAGGTCAGCTCATGAAAAATGGGGGCAAAAACAAAAGTGTTGCGTTTATAATTTTGTTCAGTGTATATATATATATATATACACACACCTTGCTGCATGTACTGCGTTAGGCTAACTGAGACTTGTAATTTGCACTTATATATTGTTGCTCTTTTGTTAGTTTTGACTGCTTTTATTGTCCTCATTTGTAAGTCGTTTTGGATAAAAGCGTCTGCTAAATGACTAAATGTAAATGTAAACAGTTATTTGTGAATCCATTGTATAATACAAGGAATTTGCTGCCTATATAGTATAGTCTCTGGAAAGCTGTACAGGAAATACATATGTATTGCATGGATATGGATTGGTTCACTGGTTGAAAGTATGGTTTAATGACAGATGCACAGATTTATAATACATTGGCTTAACTAGACATACTGATTTAGATACATTGATTTAATCAAGCACACATGGGTTTGCTCCTTTATACTCTTGATTGTTCTAGTAAACAGTGGTTTCCTCAACTATGGTTTAGATGCATTGGTTGGATCAAGTATATATTGGTCTGATGAAGTATACATTGTTTTGTTCAATTACAGATTGGTTTGATTAACTAGGCCTATATATTTGTTCACATATATATATTCGTTTAGATACATCAGTTTGCTTAAGGGTGTATTGGTTTGTTCAACTATATATTGGTTTAGATACATTAGTTGGCTCAAGTATATATTGGTTTGTTCAAGTATGTATTGGTTTGTTCAATTATATATTGGTTTAGATACATTAGTTGGTTCAAGTATATATTGGTTTGTTCAAGTATACATTGGTTTGTTCAACTATATATTGGTTTAGATACATTAGTTGGTTCAAGTATTTATTGGTTTGTTCAACTATGTATTGGTTTGTTCAACTATATATTGGTTCAGATACATTAGTTGGCTTCGGTATATATTGGTTTGTTCAAGTATACATTGGTTTTTCAACTATATATTGGTTTAGATTCATTAGTTGGTTCAAGTATATATTGGTTTGTACAAGTATGTATTGGTTTGTTCAACTATATATTGGTTTAGATACATTAGTTGGCTCTGGTATATATTGGTTTGTTCAAGTTTACATTGGTTTTTCAACTATATATTGATTTAGATACATTGGCTCAAATATATATTGGTTTAAGAATACATTGTTTTTGTATGTATTGTATATATTGGTTTGTTCAACTATATATTGGTTTTTAGATACATTGGCTCAAGTATATATTGGTTTGTTCAAGTATACATTGGTTTTTCAACTATATATTGGTTTAGATACATTGGTTGGCTCAATATCTTCGATGCGTGTCCACGGCATTACGTAATGTTGGAAAGGTCACGCACGGTTAGTTCTTTGTCTGCATACTCCGGTTCAAAAATGTAGGGTAGGCCGAAAGACTCCATCTCCTCCAACTTCAAAATCGTCCAACATCGTTGTTTTACCTTTTTTTGTAAAGGGCGTTTGACTTTCTTTGCACGTTTGCTTTGTAAACAATGGGTCAGTACTTCTACCTACGT